TTTTTTTTTTTTTTTTTTTTTGGTTTTTCGAGACAGGGTTTCTCTGTGGTTTTGAAGCCTGTCCTGGAACTAGCTCTTGTAGACCAGGCTTTTATTTTGTATTTACTAAAATTATTCAGAATATTATTGGAGAACTGTGAATGACCTAGGAGTGTGGCTAAACTATAAAGAGTTGTGACTGCCAGATGGGAGAATTTAGAGTCCATTTCATAAGTATTAGGAAGGTAAAGGATTTATGAAGCAGAGGAATAGCTTGACTGGAACAGCGACTGTTGAAATGAGTTTCAGAGACTTAAAATCTCATTTGGGTTGGCTACGTGTAGAGTAGCTAGGCTTGGAAGATTTCAGCAGAGTAATACAGAGAAAAGATCACTAACTCTCCTGCTCCTTGTTTCAGAAAGGACACATCTGCCACATTGCAGCCAGTCAATGGATCACCTCAAGCAGAGCAGTCCCCATTGGAATCTACAAGCAAAGAAGCCTTTTTTCACAGAGTGGAAACCTTTTCTATATCCTTTTTCAGTTCATGTAAGGGGTAGCCTGCTGCAGAATTGTCACTCTAGAGTCCTATACCGCGTACTCTGATCTTCAGCTTTTACTTTATGTGTGTGAGTGTGTTGTCTGTATGTGAACCACATGTGTGCAGTGTCCACAGAATCCAAAAGAGGGCTTCACATCCCCTGGAATGGAGTTGCAGATGGTTGTCACCCTCGATATGGATGCTAGGAATTGAACTGGAGTCCTCTGGAAGAGCTGCCAGTGCTCTTACCTGCTGAGCCATCCATCCAGCCCATTATTCTGATCTTTTAAACCAAAGAATCAGTGTTGGTAAGAACTTTTCAATGGAAATTAGACCTTAGTATGTTATCCCTAAGGATCAGTTGAGGGACAGATCAGATCTTTTGGTTTGTTTGTTTTGTTTTGAGACAAGGTCTGTAACCTGCATCTCAAGATCAGCTCATAGTTCTTCTGCCTTGGTCCCAAATGCTGGGATGGTAAATGGGAGCCACCATGCCCAGCTAAGCTTTTGTCTTTAGAGAAGAATAAACCAACAAGTCCTGAGAGAAGGAATAGCTACTGGTGCTTCTGTGTAGTAAGTTTTCACATGTGTTCTCACCTTTGATCTTTAACTCATTCCTGTGAAAATAAGTACCTTTACTGCCATCCTGGTTGTTGTTGTTTTTTTTTTTTTTTTTTTTTTTTTTTTTGTTGAAGGCAGTGCTGGGAATCAAACCTAGGTCCTCATGTATACCAGGCAGACACTTTCCCACTGAGCTGTATTCCCAGTCCTATTATACTCATTTTGAGAGCAAAAGAACAAACAGCAACAACAAAAGCCAGAAGAACACGGATTTAATCTCAGTACTCGGGAGGCAGAGGCCCTTACACTGAGAAATGCTGTCTCGAAAAACCAAAAAAAAAAAAAAAAAAAAAAAGCCATGAGAGTAGTTGTGAGAGTAGGTACCTGACTAACAAGACATCCTGCTAGCAAGTAGAAGAGCCAGGACTGTGATGTCATTGAAAGTGCACTGCTGTCTTGACAGTTTCTAGCTCCCTTTTGTATATGAGTCACTGTTGCATACAAACTGCTCCAATGCTTATTATCCCAACAACTATTCCACAAACTCTGTGGACTGTGAATCCAGACATAGAGTTGTTTTAGTTTTGTTTGTTTTTCTTTGGTTGTTTTTAAATTTAATGTATCTGCTCGTGTATGCAAGTGTGTGTGTGTGTGTGTGTGTGTGTGTGTGTGTGTGTGTGTGTGTGAAGGAGGGGGAATGTTGTTTTAAATTTTGCATATCTCTGTGTGTGTTTGGGTATGTCCACATGAGTGGGTATTCACAGGGGCTAGAAAAGGGCATCAGATCCCCTGGAGCTGGAGTTATAGTCTGTTGTAAGCTGCCATGTGGTTGCTGGGAATCATCAGACTCTAGTCCTCTGTAAGAGGAGCACACTCTTAATTGCTGAGTTCTCTCTTCAACCCCTAAAATAAATGCCCCCCTTTCTTTTTTTTTTTTTTGGCTTTTTTCGAGACAGGGTTTCTCTGTAGTTTTGGAGCCTGTCCTGGAACTCGCTCTGTAGACCAGGCTGGTCTCGAACTCACAGAGATCCACCTGCCTCTGCCTCCCGAGTGCTGGGATTAAAGGCGCCCCCTTTCTTTTTGTGGTTTTTCGAGACAAGGTTTCTCCATGTAGCTCTGACTATCCTGGAACTTGTTTTTAGATCAGGCTGGCCTCATACTTAGAGATTCTCTCTTAAGGTAAAATACAAGCAATGAGATTTTTACTATTCAGGATCAATAAATGCTTCAGGACACTTTCCCGGGTACATAATTAAAGATGCTGTCTGCTGCCAGGTGGTGGTGGGACATTAGAATAATACAGGCAAATGATGGCAGAACTATCCCGGCCTTCCTGACCTTTATGGTCCCTTCTGCTTAGGTCCATCCTTGCTAGGGCTTTCGGCAGCACTCGCAGGCCCCAGGGCTTCAGATTAAATGAAGCAGGCATTGTCTATTCTGCCCCCAGGCAGTAAGAAAGACAGTTTTGTGTTGTGTATCTTAAAGATGGATTCTCAGAGGCTGAACAGATACAGAAAGATGGAGAATTGGCTCTCAGTGGTTGAGTACTTGCCGCTCGGGCAGCTCAGCTGCCTGTAACTCCAACTCCAGGGATTCACCCCAATTCATCTGACCTCTGAGGTACTAGCACTTGTGTATATACAAATCCATATAGTAACCCACACAAACACATAATTAAAAAAAATAAATAAATAAATCTTTTGTTTGTTTGAAATAGGGTCTCTCTCTATTACGTAGCCCCAATTATCCTGGAGCTTCTTTTATAGACCAGGCTGACCTCAAACTCAGAGATCTTCCTGCCTCTGCCTTCCAAGGGACGGATTAAGGGTGTGCACCACCATGCTCAGTTTTAAAACACACATACACTCTATTG